ACACACACACTCATAAACACACACTCACAGATTCCTAGACTTTCATGCATAATGCATCAGAAGTCCTGTCTCGGCCGTAGTTGTCCTCACAGTGATATCAAATTACTCTGTGTTTTCCACGTGCAACAAAACACACACAGCGGGGGAATTGTTACCCAAAACAGATTCTGTCTCCTCAGACAATCTGTCCCATTCTCCGGCCCAGCCGAGCTCTTTCAGCCAGTGTAGGAGGGATGGAGGATTTTTTTTTGCGCATTACAGACGTAGGTTGCCTGCAGGGTATCTTTGCTCCACAATTACTGCTTTATGAGGCTGCTTAAATGAAGCCAAGGAAAGAGAGCAATGGAGGCAGAGAGTGTGAAGATGTCTGGTGTGCTGGTATCTGTTCCTACATCACTCTTGACTCTTTCCCTTTCTTTGCTGTTTGGCATTGAGAGCAACCTTTTGTGTCTGCGTTTCTTTCCCATGCAGACGTTGCTTCTTTCCAACTTTTTTCTCTTTCCCCTACAGACTGGGTCCATTATTACTGACTCATGCTGCAAGGACAAATGAAAACCAACAGATTTATTAGAAATTCTTGTTAAGATGCTAAGTTTTACAAAATGTCACAAATACATCATGATGATTTTCAGGATTAAAGGTCTTTCAAGCATTCTGCAGCAGGTGGCGTTCCCCAGTAGTCGTAGGAGTAAAGAAGTCAAAGTACTAAAATAAAATTCAAGTTTTTTTGTTTTTACTAAAGTCAAGAACTTTCAGTCTTACTTTTAAAATATTTGGTAATTTTGGAAAATCCGCTTATGTGCTTAGTTAGATGAAAAGATCAATACCAATCTTTTGTGAATATGTAGACAGGTAACGTAGACAAGAAGTCTTTAACGGAACAGAAGATGAAATTACACCCATGTCTGTACGATATATTTAGCTTAACTTAGCATAAAGACTGAAAACAGCTAGCCTTGCTCTGTCCAAAGGTAACTAAATCTGCCCTTTTAAAGCTCAATAATTGTTATGTTGTATCTTATTTAATCTATACAGAAAGTGTAAACAAATTAAATTGCATTGCTGTGTGCTGGGCTAAAAAGAGAAAAACAAAAACAAAACACCACTTTGGAGATTCATCCACCCACACAGCCCCAAAAACCTCTGACAGTCTTCATAACAATTGCAGTCTTACAGTTACAATAGGCTAAATATAAGATTTAATTAAATCACCAGCAGCTGTTTTAATGCCATTAAGAGCATTTAAAAAATTACAATTTTCCTCCTTGTAGTCAAGCCAGTAAAATAACCTATTTTTGATATCTTGACAAATTAAGGGTGAGTCATCATTCAACTGCACAGTGCTTGGTAGACGTGGTATTTATACCCCATTAGCATCTAACCCACTTTGCACCTTTCAATGATCATCTCTCTTTCCATGTTTCATACATCTTTTTAAAATAATTTCAACTGTGTGTGTGTGTGTGTGTGTGTGTCATTGTGTGTGTTAGAGAGATGATCACACAGTTATAAAAGCCATCTACACCCATTTGGACCACTGCTCTGTTGACTGGCTGCTCGCCTGTGATAACATCAGCTCTAAGCCCTCAGAACGTAATGGTCAATACTGCTTCTGTCACTGTGTCTTACAGAGCAGGACAGAGGAGAGGGAAGGATTGAAAGAGTGTGTGAGAGAGATACAGTAGATAGATAAAGAGGGGAGGAAATAACTTTACTTTTCTTTTTCCATTATTTACAGTCGGAGTGGAACACAACAGGGGAAAAACGTCTGAATTGCAAAGCTGCTTAGCGGTATAATTCAGTTGAGGGATTTGAATCAGCTCTCACCCCCACTTCAAGCACTGGGGTGGAGGCGGACAAAGAGGGAGATAGAGGGGGAGTGTGTGCGTGTGTGTGTGTGAGAGAAACCGTGTAGGAGCACAATCTGGTATAGCTCCATGTGAAAATGACCTACTTCCTGTCAGCCCACTCTCAAATGGATTGCTGTTTTCTGATGTGTGGAGGAGAGAGGGGGAGGTCCTCTGAGGGGGTGTGTGGGGGGAAAGTTACCGTGGCACGGTTAAATGAAGTATAAGTAGGTGGCTCTGGGGGACCCACAGTGTAGAATAAAATAAATGTTGTGTGTGTGAAGTGTAAATTCTGTATGCATGGCATGTATAATGTGTACTCACCTGTGTATACAGTGTTTGTGTGCTCGTGCAGTAAAACATGCATGTTGCATGATGAGCCGCTTCGTCTCTGCAGTGTTAATTACCCCAAATGAGGGTTTGAAGAGAGTTGACTATCAGAAAGCCAATATTTGAGGGGGCAGGCCTTGCCAGATGCTCAG